AATTGTATTACATAATGACTGAACATTTTAGACCCAAATAATACAGCTCAGTCAAGAGATCTTATTTCATACAGACAAGGCCATGGTTTTGCTGTCAGTGAGATATTGGGTCTGGAGCCCACTATATGACCTTGTTACTATTTGAAAAAAATCACCTGTCAGTGTTGAGGTCTTTTTTTATTTGTCCTCAACCTAGTTTTTATTTTTCTAAGTAATCCAGATTTAGGTGTTTCAGAATCAATAACTTATGTTGCTTTCTGAATAGAATTTAGAACCTGCATGTTTCTGTATCTTGAATGGCCTATGTTTCCCAATTTCTCTCTGACTTTGTGTGTTTTCTGTAAGTTTGAGTCACATTGTTTTGCATTTAGTGTAAGGGCTGCAATGATTGTCTTTTGGGACCATTACAAGTCTCTCTAATGTGTCTTCCTCCACCTTTAAAATTCTATTAAGGATCCTAAAGTTTATAAATGAAATAAATTTAGATACTCATGAGTAAAAAAAGTCTCAACCCTAACACAAGTAATAAAACCACTAAACAGTATATATTAATATATGTTTAAGAGATCATATGCTACTGTTTTCAGTATAAGTGTAAATTCAGCAGAAGTTTAGAATTGTGTTTTGAAGAAGTTGAATTTCTCCAAGTCATAGGAATGTTGCTTTCAAGTATAGAATTGAAAAAGAGATTAAAGCATTTCTTACCCAAAACCAAAAACCTTTGAGGTAAAATAGAATTCCTAAAGCAGTATGTTGCCAGATATCCTATGTGACATAACTTCAGTTTATGAATGATCTTTCCAATAGCTTATTGCACATCTGAAGAGACTCTAATCAGATCATGACTGAGCCCCGGACATTCTTGCTTCAGACTTTCATAAAATTCAGGCCAACTCAGAATGAAATAGATACTCTTAAATTGGTTTAATGTATGTTATTGATCCTTTCTAACCTTTTTCTTTAGAGTTGTTTCTCTCGATGAAAATTCGACTTAGTATCAGCGACCAAGGAAAGACCCTGATGATTCAGTGAGGACTCATTTTTCATATGGCTTCATCTTTCTTTGAAGCATTAATTAGGCACTAGTGCTACACAAATCTGAGCATAGTTACCAAGATACAGGTTGAAACTCTGAGGATGACTTATTTCATTGATCTTCATTAGTATGAGGACTTTCTCTTTGACTTAGTTTCTCTTCCTAGCTAGGAGGTTCTGTCTGCAGATAGGGGAAGAAAGCTGAAGGAAACCTTCTGGCCATGTACATCTATGAGAGTAGACTCAGGGCCAGAGCAGAACATGATGTGTTAGGAATCTGCACTAGAATTGATTTAGAAAATTTAGGGAGGAATAAAGGGCATAGATACTTCAGGACTTAGAGATATTGCTTTGTTTCTTATAAGAACCATTTATCTTCTAATAGAAGACATTTTAAAAACTGAAACTGGAAAGAAATTTGAAATGGATGTGCTAAATGTACACCTTTTCTTTATATACTATCACCATCAGCAGGTACAATGATTATAACTAATCAAGAATCTGGCAGCTGCCCTGTGTAGGAATTGTAAATTCAACGGAAATTTATAAGCTGAAAAAAATAGAATGGACTAGCTAAATACTTGGATTAAAATAAATCAACTAAACAAAAGCTTGGGGGTTTCCAGGAGTTGTAGACATCTCTGTAACTTATCTATCTATTTATTTATTTATTTTTTAAGAAAGAAAGAAGGAGAAAGAAAAAGAGGGAGAGAGAACAGGATTCTTGCTCTATTGCCTAGGCTGGAATGCAATCTTAAAAAGGTATTAAAAAACCTCTTTTATGCCAATAATTGTACTTAACAACAGAGACAGGAAGGAATAAGGGAATAACAAACAAACAGCCAACCAATATTTCATTTAAGTCTGTGAGATGCTATGCAAATACTGAAGAGTAATTTACTTCCAATTATATAGTCACTTTCAGAATAGGTGTAATATGATACTGAGAAAAATGTATGTTCTGTAGACCTGGGGTGGAGAATTCTATAAATATTCACTGAGTTTACTTATTCCAGGTCTAAATTCAAATCATAGATGTCCCTATTAATTTTCTATCTGATTGATCCATCGAATATTAACAATGTGATGTCAAAAATCTCCCGCTATTATTACACGGGAGTCCAAATCTCTTTATAAATCAATAAGAACTTCTCTTATGTATCTGGGTACTCCTATATTGAGCACGTATATATTTATGATCATTAACTCCTGTCATTGCATGATCCTTTTACCATTATATGTCCTTCTTTGTTTCTTTTGGTCTTTATTACTATTAAAGTCTATTTTGTTGTAGACAAAAGTTACAACTCCTGGTTTGTTTTTTTTTTCCTCTCCATTTAATTGGTAAATCTTCCTCCATCCCTTTGAGTCTTTGTGTGTCTTGTGAGTTAGATTTGGATACAATGTACCAATAGATTTTAACTTTTTATTCAATTTTCCTGTCTGTGTTTTTAATTGGAGCATTGAATTCATTTAAATTTAGGATTAATATTAATATTTGTGAGTTCAATATTGTAATTTAGTGCTAGCTGGCTATTTCGCCCATTAGTTGATATAAATTCTTCATTATGGAGATACTCTTTATGTTTTGGTAAATTTTGGGGATGACTGATACTGGTTGTTCCTTTCTGTTTGTAGTGCTTCTTCCAGAAGGTCTTGTAAGGTAGGCCTGGTGGTGATGAAATCTCTGAGAGCTTGTTTGTTCATGAAAAATTTTATTTTTCCTTCATTTATGAAGCTTAGTTTGGCTGGATATGAGATCTGGGTTGAAAATTCTTTTCGTTGAGGATATTGAATATTGACCCCCACTCTCTTCTAGATCGTAAGGTTTCTGCTGAGAGGTCTGCTGTTAAGTCTGATAGGCTTTCCTTTAAGGGTAACCTGACCTTTCTCTCTAGCTGCCCTCAGAATTTTCTCCTTTATTTCAACCCTAGTGAATCTAGTGATTATGTGTCTTGGAGTTGCTCTACTTGAGGAGTATCTTTGTGGTGTTCTCTGGATTACCTGGAGTTGAGTATTGTCCTGCCTTATGAGGTTAGGAAAGTTTTCCTGAGTAATATCCTGAAGAATATTTTCCAACTTGGATTCATTCTCTTCATGACATTCAGGTACACCTATCAGTCATAAATTAGGTTTTTTCACGTAGTCCCATATTTCTTGGAGACTTTGCTCGTTCCTTTTTACTCTTTCTTCCTGAATCTTGTCTTCTCATTTCATATTATTAAATAGGTCTTCGACCTCTGATATCAATTCGACCGTTAAAACCTGTGCATACTTCGCAAAGTTCTCGTATTGTATTCTTCAGTTCCATTGATTCACTTACTTTCGTTTCTAAATTGTCTATTCTCATTAGCATTTCATCAAACCTTTTTTCAAAGTTCTTAGTTTCTTTACATTGGGTTAGAACATGTTCTTTTAGCTCACAAACTTCCTTATTATCCACCTTCTGAAGCCTAAATGTGTTAATGTAACGCACTTGTTCTCAATCAGGCCTTGTTCCCTTGATGATGAGGAACTGGGGTCCCCTGTAGAAGGGGAGGCATTCTGATTCTGGGTATTCTCGATCTTTTTACGTTGGTTTCTTCCCATCATTGTGAGTTTATCCACCTGTCATCTTTGTGATTGCCAACTTTCAAATTAGGTCTCTGAGTGGACGTCCAACTTGTTGATTCCCAGTGCCGAAATCTGAGCAACCCACTGCACCGGCTAAAACAGCGGCACTAAGATTCGTGGTGCTTTTCTGCTCGAAATCTCCCGTCTGGCTTCCCTCTTGAATCTCTTTTTCAATCAGGTAAATGGGTGACTCTGCCTTCCTGGAGCTCCAAACGTCGATCAAAAGGGCACCCAGTCCCATTTACTCTGCATCGAGAACCGCTGAGCCAAAGCGCCGGCAAAACCGCCACGCTGGCCACAAGAGTTGCGCTGGTGACCCATGGGGCTCCTCCACTGGGAATCTCCTAGTCCGTGGGCAACAAAAATTCATCTGAAAGTGTGGCGTCCTCTCTTTCTGTGTGCCTTCTCTGGGAGCTACAATCCTGAGCTGCTAGAAATTGGCCATCTTGGATTTCTCTCCCAACTAATTTGTTTTTTATAGACAGGGTCACCTTACGTTGCCTAGGCTGAACTTTAACTCCTGACCTCAAGCTATCTTCCCACCTTAGCCTCCCAAGTAGCTGGGACTATGGGTATATGCCACCTCACTCAGCTCCTCTTTGTAATGTTTACCCTAACAAAACCTAGAATAAGCTTTCATTGGATAAATTAACTTTTCCTGAATAATGAAAATACTTTTGAAGTTATTTTAGTAAGAGGGAATCTTAATTAGTGTCTCTTTTGTTTTTTGTGTTTTTTTAGATAGTGTCTCGCTCTGTCACCCAGGCCGGAGTGCAATGGCGCAATCTAAGCCTCAGCCTCCCCAGTAGCTGGGATTACAGGTGCCTGCCATTACACCCGGCTAATTTTCTGTATTTTTTGTAGAGATGGGGTTTCACCATGTTGGCCAGGCTGGTCACGAATTACTGTCTCTTCTGGGCTGAATTGTGCCCTGTTCCCCAAATTTATATGTTGAAGTTTTCGGCTCCAGTACCTCAGAATGTGACCTTATTTAAATATGGGGTCGAGGCAATTAAGTTAAAGTGAGGTCATTAGGGTGGGCCTAATCCAGTATTACTAGTATCTTTATAAAATGAGGAAATCTGGACACAAAGACAGGTATAAAGGGAAGATGTGAAAAGGCACAGTGAAAAGATGGCCACCCACAAGCCAAGGAGACAGGCCTACAACAGATGTCTCCCTCAAGTGCTGGAGCTATTGCTCCTCCTCAGAGCCTTAGGCTTCATCTGTGTTTTCTTTATCAGGGTTGTTGGTGTCAAACTGAGAGAAGAAGAAACGATGAAATATTATAAGACCCTAGCGTGTCCAACCAACTAATGAGAAGGTGGAACAAACACACAGAGCCATTGGACCTTGATTACTCTCATGATTTATTAATATTCAGGTTGAAAAAGGAGCCTTAGAGCCGCAAGTTACGCTAATTGGCACATTTGCTTTATTTATTTATTTTTAAAACAAACTGGGATTTTTGAATTTTTTTCCTTTTTGTTCATTCCATCACATTGAAAAGGAGGAAAACAAAAATGGTTTTGAATTCACTCAATATTTTGGACTCCTCAGATGAACAGAACATTGCACACACACTTGGAACAGAGAGAGAGAGGAAAGTGGACTCCCACAGGGCCACACGCACCAGATCAAAAAACTTGGATACAGTGCAAGAATTCCCCAAATGATTGAATCATCATTACCAAAAACTCGCCATAACAACACCAAGAAACAAAAAATGTTTAAGCCACACTGTTTGACTTGGGATCTTTCCTGCTTTTTTTTTTTTTAATGTTTGCCACACAGAGAGAAAGAGGGCTAGTGGGTGGGAAAGGACAGCCTCACAGATGTGAGCAGGACAGGAGGGGCTTCAGAGTGGAGCTGAGAAGAGGGTGGGAAGAGACAGGGCTCAGGAGAGGGGAGGGGGATGTGGAAAGCCATTTCTTAAGAGTTCAGGCATGTTCTTGGTCAGCCTCGGGTTCCTCTTCTTTACCCTCGTCCTGCCGGGCACTTTCCTTAGGTTTGGTTTCATCTACAGCTTCTGAGAAACAAAACAAGATGGAGGGTGGGGGGGGGGGGGGGGGGGGAAGGAGAGTTAGTATTTTGCCTTATCTGCTCATACAATGGTGCAATGCATTTTTTTCTTTTTATGTCATTACATAAGAGCATTAAGATTAAAAGAGATTATTATTACCCCAGTTAATATAAGTTCCAAGTTCAGAAGGGTTTACCTCAAGGAAGCTGTTCAGTGGCACCTATAGAACTTAGGAGCAAACGTATGTGATTGACAAGCAGTCCACTTAACAGAAGTTACTGTGGTGTTTAATCTCTCAGCCTTACAATCAAGGTATCCACATACAGGATCTTTACATAGGGAATCAACAATAATCTTGCATTTCTGTTCTATTAGTGTCAGAAGAATTGTAGCAGATAATTTATGTGGACCATCAAGCGTCCATTCCAAATTTCTTACCACTTGTTTCTAGTACTGGAAAGTAAAATAGTTGAATTCTCAGCTCCTGTGGGACAGTGCTGGTCAATTAGACAGAGATAGAAGTCCTTAGAGAGGGCAGAGTTGGGTTTTGCCCTTTACATTCTCCTGTTCCTGATGACTTGGATCTCAAATAATACATGGCACTGTAGCAGCTGTCTTGTGACCATGAAGACAAAAACTATACACTAAGGATGGTGGGACAAAAAGGAAAAATCATCACTGAGTGACTGTAGCACTCCTAGATACCTTTCCCTCAGAGACGAGTCACTAGCTTTTTTAAAGCACTGTAATATACTAGTTTTCAGTTTCTTGCAGCCAAGCACATTCCAACTGAATATACTTATCCATAGGGAAAGTACTACTTTGCTTAACAAGGAGAATATCATGTCTTTTTGAAGAATAATTTTCCCTTGGTTTCCTGACAGAATTCAATCAACTGATTTTATGCTACATGATAGTTTACTAATATGCCAGCTTGTGGAAAAAGAATTCAATTGCTCTGAAATAACTCGTGTTGCTGAACAATCAACACCCTGTGTCAGGGTCCCCCAAGATCACTCCTAGGTTCAGTGATTTGCTAGGAGGACTCATGGACCTCAGCATTCAGTCTACTTCATAGCTAAAATCAGTGAAAGAACATACATCAAAGTAAGCAAAGCAAAAAGTTGCATTTGGGACGAAGTTTGGAGGAAACCAAACATGTTTCTAAGAGTCTTCTCCCCATGGAGTCACCCAGGATGTGCTTAAATCTTTCAACAACAAATTACCGTAACACATGGAAGATGTCATCTATTAGGGAAGTTTACCTGAGTTTGCATTGGTAGTTGGTCATGTAGGCACCCTCTACCTAGAAGATACAAAATCCAGACTCCCAGAAGGAAAACAGATGTTCAGCCTAAACCACATTGTCTGTACAACGATTTTAGGCACCTGGAACCACTCTTATCAGTTAAGGAATGAGAGTCTTCTCAAAATCCAAGTTCCCAGATGCCAGCCTGTTTTATAAACAGGCCTTTCTAAGGACGGAAGTTCCAGGCCTACTAAATCAACTGTTTTTTTGTTTTTTCTCAACCCCTGCTATCAACAATGCCTGTGTCTTAAAATGAAGCTATTGTTATTGCTTGTCCTCTTAACACCTACTAGGTGGTTATTATTCTTGGAAAGGTAAACTGGAGTCAATGGAATTTTGTTAGGCTAACAAATTTGTATTTAATTTGAAGATAATAGACATACTTTGAAAGCACTTGAGCGAGGAACATATTACCGCTATGTTTTGAGGAGATTAAACTAGGAATACCAAATAAAATGGATTTGCTCTACACAGATGTTGAGATTAGAGAAATGGGGTCATTAAGGAGATCATTAAAAGAATTCATCGCTGGGTGCAGTGGCTTATGCCTATAATCCCAGCACTTTGAGAGGCTGAAGTGGGTAGATCACAAGGTCAGGAGTTCAAAACCAGCCTGACTAACATGATGAAACCCCATTTCTACTAAAAATACAAAAATTAGCCAGGCGTGGTGGCGTGTGCCTGTAATCCCAGCTACTCAGGAGGCTGAAGCAGGAGAATCACTTGAACCCATGAGGGGGAGGTTGCAGTGAGTCAAGATCACACCACTGCACTCCAGCCTAGGCAACAAAGCCAGACTCCATCTCAAAAAAAATAAAAAAGAACTCATCAAAATGTATGTCTCTTTTAATTCAGCAAGCTACATATTTACATTCAGTCAAAGCTGAACATTGATACCCACCATTATTAAACACATTTCTGGAATTTCTTCTCTGAAACACCTAACCAAAAACATTCTTTTAAAGCTCTTCAGTAGCAGAAAATGCTTATTTTTTGAAAGTAGTTTAGGTTTTTAGAATCTAACTAGACTAGTCTGGTAAATTAAAGTAAGAAGCTACTATGGGTAATTTTACTTTATAATACTCACTTTTGACCAAGGTTTTAAAGTCTGACTTATGTTGTAGGGTTCATAACTCACTATAAGCTATTCTTAAAATATAGTTATTCTAGTGATACTGCCTACTACTACTCGTAAGGTTTTTTTTTTAAGGCTGTAGCTTTCCAAGGTGGCTATTATTACCTCTTGAACAACAGTGCAACTATTCAAGTTTTGCTTGAAACTAACTCAATCCCGATCATTATAATACTCTATGTATCAGCAGTATTCCTCCGGAATTATAAAAATTTTGGTGTGCTAATGAGTTATTTAATTTTCTACCAGGAGAAAGATTACAGATTTATTTCAGTGAAGTCATTCAAAAAAAAAAATCAAAAATTATTCTGGAGAGTTTGCTTATTCCCTAACCCTGCTCAAACCTTTGTATATTTTAAGTATGCCCAAGGTGGTTTCCCATCTTTATCAGTTACCAGAAGCAATGTTTTTAGCACCCTTATCAAACTGCAAGAGAAACGTAATACTGATTTACCCAACCCAAAAACATACAGAAAGACGGTAGTTATAGAAGCAAGAGAAAACTTCAAATCTCTCCTACCAAAATAAAGGCAAAGGAGTTATTATTATATATGATTTGAGGGAAATTCAGAAATGAGAGAAAAGGGAAGTGGACTGAGAAAGGTGAGAATTGCATGTTTGTTGAATAAAGGGAACAAAACTCAAAAAAGCAGAAATGAAAACTTGAAACTTCAGATGGTTCTGAGATGCAGCCGCACTTTCTGGCCCTTGTTGGAATACAATCAAGTTAAATCCTCCCAAATTCTCCCACTTTCTCTTGTCATCCACTGCCTCGTCCTATGATGAAAGATGAAATTTGGCACAAATCTGTTTATTATGACAGGAAATTATTGCTGTCTGTTCCCTATTAATAGAGCTTCAATATATATTCATTTTCTCAAATGTTTGAGGTATTTTAAATGTACGTTATTATTAATTTATTTCTGCAATAAATTGTTACTGGACACCTGCACTGTGCCAGGCATTCTTCTAGGTACTGAGAAAAAAAAAATAGCAAAACCCTTGCTCCCCTTAAAGCCTTTCACAATATACCTTTAAAAGACAAGAATGTTAGAAATGAGTGGCCTCCTTAAGATCACCCAGTCACTAAACCGTAAACTCTTCAAGGGTAACAGCCATACCTACTTCAGCTCAACTTTAAATTCCATGTCTAGCACAGAACCTAATTCAGGAAAGACCCCGGTCAATATTTGTTAGGTGAAAGAATGACTTGACAGCCTCATTTTACAGCTGATGAGACTGCAATGTAGCTGCATAAAGGATCTTTCCCTAAATCATATTGTTTGCTTATGACCAAGCCAGAACTGAAACTTAGATCTATTTCTTTAGGTTTTCTGATTGTATCAGGTGGCCAAACTCATTTTATCAGTTGAGCACTAGAAATTTAGTGACTTAAAAAAACTTGAGATTAAAAATTGTTGGCTCCAAAGTATAGAATAAAAACCACGAAATTAGAAGTGATGAAGTTCAATTAGATGGCTAAAAAAGGAAATGTCAGTTAGCTGGAACATATAAAACTATACATATATATATATATATATATATATGTCTGAGATTAATTTTTATTTGATATTATTGAATATTAAGCAAAATGCTTTAAGTGAAGGGATAATTAGTTGGCAGAAAAAAAGTGTGTCAAGTCAATGAATACAGTGAAAGTTTTATAGGCCACCAAGAAATTATGGGGAGGAAAACAAAATATGGACTGAGGAAACAATGTAAAATATCAATCTTTAACAACCTCCAAAGTGAGATAAGCTAAAAACTCATGATAACTTTAAAAAAAAATTCTATATCCAAATTAAAGAAACAATAGTCAGATGTGAACCACAGGCCTGCTCCAGCTAGTTCTACTTTGGTAGGAGACTGCACATGAGTTTGGGAAAGGTTTTAACCTTTGACAAAGAAGAACTTAGAATCCAAGTTTTATATAAATGGGTCTATTTAAGCCTGAATGCTAGAGGGAACATCTTGATATTGCTAGCTTATTCTCCCACTGATGTCAACCCTTGATAAGTCACTGTAGTGATAAATCATGTTGACCATTTGCTTTATATCTACATTTTCTTACCTGTTCTATTCAGCCACTTAAAAAAAAACTGCCTGGAAAGAATTATTAATTATGACTTGCCTGGTCCTTTGTATAAAGTATTTAGCTATAGTCAACATTTTCAAGTTCTTGCTATGTGCTCAGACCAGTGCTAAGTATACTTGTATCATTGCATTTAATTCTCACATCTACCTTAATCACCCCATTTCACAGCTGGAAAAACCGAGACACAGGGAGAGTGAATAGTTTATCTAAGGCCACACTGTAAATCCCAGTCTGGGACAGAGTTATCTCAGTACCTCTTACTTTAATTGCTTTCCCTGGTTTTGCCTTTGCCTAAAAAGAATGGGTGAGTTCAGAGTGATAACTAAGGCAGGGAGTCCAGTCCACAGGTATGTAGGCCTAAAGCCTACAACATTTAAAAACTGTCCCATTAAAAGCAGCTAAAAATGAAGGGAAGAATCCTGATTAGTCTTCCGTAATATAAAATCTGGCCTTGGCACTTTCCAGCACTG